AATTTCAGGTGTCCGGTCACTTTTGACCACGAAGACCATGAGTGTGACTCCCAAATGAGGAGCGCACAAGGGTTAAAATATTCACATTTTGTTGCTTTGCAGTCCTGCTAAACTTGTTGCTATGATACATTTTAGAGTGTGAACTGCTGCTGTTTGTAGTTTTAACCCATATTTAGTGAAAAAAGTATATACTATTAATATAATAATATTTACGTGCTTAAAACAAGTAAAACAAGTAAGTGGGTCTATAAGGGTTAATAGACAACAAGAAGCTTCCAACAAAATATTTCCAGTGTTCCCAGTGTTCTAACTTTCTCTCTATCTCTCTCTCTCTGACCGGTAGATATCCTGGCCTCCTTCACCTTCTCGGCGAGATGAATGCAAGTGGGCTGGGAAGGACGTCCAGGTAAGTGCTTCTCTTTCACTTTGTATTTTTTTCCATCCTCTCTCTTCTGTCCTCTCCACAACCCTGAGATCTGTCGGATAGACCTCACTGATGCAGTGAACTGCTTGTTTGTCTGCACTGTTCCACTTCTCTCTGCTTCATCTCTCTTATGTCTCGCTTTGTAGTACATGTATGCATGATATAACTCATAATTAGATCAGCAAAATGAAACTACATAAATGATTACACAAAAATCTGTAACTGTGAAGAGAGCGATGATCAGATCTAATATTTTACTAAATATATATTGGTAATATACTTTGGTAATAATAAGAAATGTTATTTGAGCAGCACAATAACATTAATTCATGAAGGATCATGCGACTTTGAAGACTGGCGTAATGATGCAGAAAATTCAGCTTTGCATCACAAAAATAAATTACATTTTAAAATTCTTTCAAATAGAAAACAGTTCTTTTAAATTGTAATAATATTTCACAATATTTTACTTTATTTTTAATCAAATAAATGCAACCTTGGTGAGCATATGAGAGTTTGTTCAAAAACATTAAAAAATCTGACCCCAAACTTTTGAGCAGAAGTGTGTGTTTACATAGTACCTCAGCGTTTAAAAGAGCAATACAATATTTTTTTTCCCATTATATACTGTATGTCTTTTATTGAAAGTAAATGTAATATTTGAGATGGATCCAAAATCAAGAAACGATTGGTTTGCTTTTGACAAGAACCGCTCATTCTGTGAAGGTAAAGCTGAGCTTGTCTGTCATCTGTCTTTTGCTTTCACAAACAAAGTTGAAGGTTTCTCTCAGAAAATCAGTTCAGCAGATGTCAGTGGAAGAATGAATAAAAACCAAATCACTGAATTGTGGGACAACGGTGTATAAACACTTTCCAGGCTGGGCTGCCATTTGCTCTCATAAATTCCATCGCAGATCCTGCCCGAGGCGCTGCCTTGAACATATAGAGCCATAGAAAGCGGCCCTCGGCGCTGTTAGCATCATAAAGAAACTGTAAGGTTGGTTGGGTTTCAATGGTACTTATTTGAATTGCAATAACATGCAGTTTGATGTAAACATGGTTTCGATGAATGGCGGGGTGCTCACTGAAAGATGGCTTTTATGTGAAGAGAGTGGTGCTGGTCAAAAGAGACAGATTGACTGAGGCTTGTTCTGTTCAAAGAGAGGTTGGCTCAAGCTTGTTTGAAGTAAGTGGGACTACGTCAATTTAGGGCCCTTTTGAGGGCCAGTGAAGGTAGAAAACGGCTGGTCCTGTTGAAGGATCTCAGCCGCAATTTGTAAGAAACAAAAAGAGAGTGAGATAGGTGCTATTCTGCCTTCAAAAATAGGATTTCAAAGGCCTAGTCTCTATTTTAATCTGAAATACAGCATTAATTAAAAAATAGGGTTAGGGTTAGGGTTAGAAAATCATTTTGTACTGTTTTCAATGGGAAAAATTGATCATCATTATTGCATACATATTAATTAGTACCATAAAATTCTCTCAAAATACAAAATAAAAAACAAAAAATATTATTGAACAAAAATATATTAGATTGATTTTACTGAAGAAAAAGTGAAATTTCAGGTGTCCGGTCACTTTTGACCACGAAGACCATGAGTGTGACTCCCAAATGAGGAGCGCACAAGGGTTAAAAAAAAATCTCACCAACCTCAAACTGGTAAACTAGAATAGTAGTGTACATATGCATATTTTCTAAAAGAGACTAGGTAATAGGTATTGGTGAAATCTCACATTGTAATGCCCATAGCAAACATCTTCTCATATTCCTCTCTGGAAGAATAGTTTGGAATGACCTGAAACAAAACAAGAAGATAAAGAGATGCACCCTTATGGGTAAAAATAACCCATGCTCATGCATAAAGGCCTGTGTGTATCTTACCATGCCGTTTGTGATTACACAGCGTGGAGAAGAAGGGAGGCTGGGAAAAAGACCCAATGGATGACCACTGTACATCACAAGGGTCTGCTCTTCAGTCATGGTGCTCAGATAGTGAAATACCAACCAGAACTATGTATACAAACACACACATAAACACAGTATATACGTAGAAAAAGGTGTATTATAGGTGTATAAAATATAACATTACAGATACATAAATCTGTACAAATCTACCTGCGCCCAGTTGCTGAACACCTGTCCGTTTCCTCCATATGTGACAAGCTCTTGTGGGAACTGCGAGCAGACAAGCATTAAAATGAGAGCGTATTTTAGAGATACAGTACTTACACCATAAAATATGATCTTCAAGAAGGAAAAGGAAGATCTATAGGTCTAAAAGAAGAGGCCCCCTTGCTGAATGAACCTCCCAGCCATTTCTGGATTATTACATATCACATGTGAAAATGTACCTGTGCTACAGCAGGATCCAGGTTGTTCATTATCATAAGCATGATGGAAGCAGCTTGTCTTGTTCTGCATGGGTACTGATCAATAGGATAGGCTCTATAACACACACATACAGTCACAGATACGGTGTGAAATGCTATGGTCAAGACATGGTATATTAATACAGTTGTCCCTGTATGCTGTGCAATTGCTTATACCTCATACGTAGTGTAGGACAGAAGCGGTACATGTAAATGTGTCCATACTGTCTGAGCTCCTGCGCAAACTCTGTAGCCAGAGTCGCATGCAGATTTGGAGGAAAGTATCTCAAAGCGTTCCTCAAAGCCAGCTAGAGAGACAGAGAAACAGACTATGACAGAGGAGAGTTCAGTAGAGTTTAACTGAAGGGACAGACTGAGTGATCATGATGCAATCAAGTTACAAAATGTTTTGGTCTCTGTCCCTCATCCCCCATTTCACTGAGCATTCGTTCCTTTCTCTCTTACAAAACTCAGACTCTTATCTTCTCTAATGATTGACAGGGCTCACAGTGTGGAAAGATTTGGAAGATTTTGTATTTTTAACCACTGCTGATCACCGCGTAGAATTTAAACCTCCTAATTCATTTAAAAATCTACAGTTCAAAAGTTTGGGCTCAGTAAGGTTGACCATGAGTGCGACTCCCAAATGAGGAGCGCACAAGGGTTAAAATATTCACATTTTGTTGCTTTGCAGTCCTGCTAAACTTGTTGCTATGATACATTTTAGAGTGTGAACTGCTGCTGTTTGTAGTTTTAACCCATATTTAGTGAAAAAAGTATATACTATTAATATAATAATATTTACGTGCTTAAAACAAGTAGGTTGCTACAGTGGGTCTATAAGGGTTAATAGACAACAAGAAGCTTCCAACAAAATATTTCCAGTGTTCTTTCGCCTTTAACTTTCTCTCTATCTCTCTCTCTCTGACCGGTAGATATCCTGGCCTCCTTCACCTTCTCGACGAGATGAATGCAAGTGGGCTGGGAAGGACGTCCAGGTAAGTGCTTCTCTTTCGCTTTGAATTTTTTTTTTTCCCATCCTCTCTCTTCTGTCCTCTCCACAACCCTGAGATCTGTCGGATAGTTCTCACTGATGCAGTGAACTGCTTGTTTGTCTGCACTGTTTTACTTCTCTCTGCTTCATCTCTCATGTCTCACTTTGTAGTACACGTATGCGTGATATAACTTTATGATTAGCAAGATCAGCAAGATGAAACTATATAAATGATTACACAAAAATCTGTAGCTGTGAACAGAGTGATTATCTGAGCTAATGTTTTAATGAATTTTCAACACTGATAATAATAATAGACGTTTCTCGAGCAGCGAATCAGCACACTAGAATGATTTCTGAAGTAATGATGCTGAAAATTCAGCTTTGCATCACAGAAATAAATTGCATTGTAAAATGATTTAAAATAGAAAACAGTTATTTTAAATTGTAATAATATTTCACAATATTAGTATTTTTTGTTGTAATTTTAATCAAATAAATGCAGCCTTGGAAAGCATGAGACTGTTTTAAAACAGTAAAAAAAAATCTTACTGACCCCAAATTTTTGAGCAGCAGTGAATGTTTTCATAGTATGTCAGCTTTCGAAAGAGCAATAAAAAAATATATTTTTTCCATTTTATATGTCTTTTATTGAAAGTAAATATAATATTTGAGATGGTTCCAAAAACAAGACACGATTGGTTTGCTTTGGACAAGAACTGCTCGTTCTGAGAAGGTAAAGCTGAGCTTGTCTGTCATTCGTCTTTTGATTTCACAAACAAAGTTGAAGGTTTCTCCCACAAGATCAGCTCAGCAGATGTCAATAGAAGAATGAATAAAAACCAAATCACTGAATTGTGGGACAACGGTGTGTAAACACTTTCCAGACTAGGCTGCCATTTGCTCTCATAAATTCCATCACAGATCCTGCCCGAGGCGCTGCCTTGAACATATAAAGCCATAGAAAGCGGCCCTCGGCGATGTTAGCATCATAAAGAAACTATAAGGTTGGTTGGGTCTCAAAGGCTCTTATTTGAATGGCAATAACATGCATTGTGTGAGATTTTGATGCAAACATGTTCCTGATGAATGACAGGGTGCTCACTGAAAGATGGCTTTTATGTGAAGAGAGGGGTGCGGGTGAAAAGAGACAGATTGACTGAGGCTTGTTCTGCTCAAAGAGAGCTTGACTCAAGCTTGTTTGAAGTAAGTGGGACAATGTCAATCTAGGGCACTTTTCAGGGCCAATGAAGGAAGAAAACGGCTGGTCCTGTTGAAGGATCTCAGCCACAATTTGTAAGAAACAAAAAGAGAGTGAGATGAATGCTTATGAAGCGCAGGTCTTCACAAAAACAGCCACTTGTGTTGGTGGCAGTGATGCATGTTAGGTCAAATTAGACAAGTGTTTAAATGCATCTGTTGACTTTGACATTAACATAAAAATAACATTTATTTTGTAAAAAAATATATTTTTTTATTTTTTATTTTATTTTTTTAACATTTAATTTTATTTGTTATTACATTTTAATTTAATTTAGTTTAGTTTAATTATTTTTATTTCATCCACAATTGTAATTTGTAAGTGTTTTAAATGCATTTGTAGACTTTGAAATAACTAACTTTAGCATAAAATATTGACATTTAATTGAATTTAATTGAATTGAATTTATTTTATTTTA